CCTTGGAAAGAATTTGGAGCAGTTCTACTCTGTCGTTTGTTGTACTGTAGTGGCTTGTGTGTTGCTGTGAAGCTTTTGTCACTGGTATTGGAAATTCCAGCAGGGCCACCCACGGTGAACAGGTTTCAGTGAGCTTCCAGAATAAGAATTGATAAGAATAATGAATAGGCTGTGCCCTTCTGAGGAATTAGCTACTGAAAACCTTTTGACTGGTAGTGGAACCCCACCAGACATCGGGCCCCAAATGAGCTCCTCAGGCTGGCGGAGGCTCACAATATGACTAAGGACAAGACCCTTCCTCAGAGTAGAGGAACCCATAATGGCTCGGATGGAATGAAGCGTTCAGGACCTTCATTTGCTGATGGCACATGACTCAAAACGAGAAGCAGCAGCTGTAAGCAGCCACTCATAACCAGAAGATGGAATGGACACAGTATGAATCTAGGAAGATTGGAGGACACCAAAAATGACATGAAATGTATAAAAACTGACATCCCAGGCAACAGTGAGTGGAAAAGGCTGGGCATTGGCCATTTTGAGTCAGGCAATCATTGATTTGCTTGGTTGGGAATGACACGTTCCAGAAGAATGACACATCACACGCATCACAGAACACAAAACAGAACATCTCAAGAGCTATAAGTACACTGCTGTCTGTGATAGGATAATATCTATTCACCTCCAAGGAAGTCTTGTTACTGCTACTTTCATTCAGATTTACACACCAACCCCTAAGGTCAGCGATGAAGAAACTGAAGACTTCTACCTACTTCATCAGTTTGAAATTGATCAAATATGCAATCAAGATGCATTGATAATCATTGGCAATTGGAATCAGAAAGTTGGAAACAAAGAGGAAGGGCCAGTTAGAAAATATGGTCTTGGTGCTAGAAATGGCTTTAGAGATTGCCTGATAGAGCTTCGCAAGACGAATGACTTCTTCACTGCAAATACCTTCTTTCAACAACATGCACGGTGACTGTGTTCATGGATATAGCGAGAGGGGACATCTCAAGAACAGAGCTGACACTGAGCACTAGTGACCGAAGATCTGATGAGCTGGGGGAGGACACCAAGAGCATCAACATGACGAAAGCCAAAGTCATTTTAAAGCCGAGGAGGACAGATCCGCGTGAATGTCAGAAGGGACTCCAAAGCTGGCTCCTGCAAACAGTCGCCAAAGTAAAGGGAAGAAATGATGGCATAAAACCGCCTCCCAGTAATTTTCAAAGGGCAGCTCAAGAAGACAAAATAAAGTATTCAAATGATACGTGCAA